GGTGATTAAAATCAGATGTCTATTTTCAAGTCCAAGGTCCATCACTTCGAAGGCAAATAGTTTGCTGAAGGACAAGGAGTTTTGTATCGCAGAAGAATCAACAAACGAAGTGTTTTCCGGTGTTCGAGGACAGCAAACGACTACGTCTTTTACAAGTTGATGATTTCTAGTGATTTCTAATCTTAGTTATTTTTGACGTCTTATTTTTCATTCCTTATTTTTTGCCATGTTTTTTTTTCAGAGAAACCTGTCCTATTTTTCTTGATAACAACTTGGAATCTTTAAGGTGTGGTGCTAGTTAATATCTTGGATACATGTGGAGATACCTGCAACGTAATACCAACATATGCATACGATCTGATTCTAAATGAAAAACTTTCTTGAACCGTATTATTTGGAGTGCGCGTCTTTACACTGCAGGATTTGCCAACTTATTGTGGTACTTATTTCCAAGAAACAGACAACTCGTGTTTCTCTTTGACGGCATTAGTTCTATATAGTGACACATTTTTCCCATTTTGCTTATTGAGCTTTCTGTCCTATTGGAAAGGCGTATACCTCTCTGAGCTAAAGAAGAAGGCCGAAGTGCCGAAACGTTCATTAAAAAGTAGAAAACCTAGTTACAAGTTGCGTGGCTTTTTCTTCATTTATTCTATTTTTGCTATATCCATAATATATATACACTTCTATAATATCACAATATAAACATCTTACAATTTTACCTGCAGACAAGGAGATTGGGCTCAAAACCAGAATACAAAAAGCGAAAATACTCAACATGGCAGTAGCAATAAAAAACCAACTTGAGTTRTAATCTTGCAGTCAGTTGGTCTAGTTTCAACGCAAGGCTGCTTTGATTGCCCGAGCAACGTGTCACGTGGACTTATCATCAGTCACGTGACGAGTACAGCTGAGTTGATCAAGGTGTCACTATTGGTTTGTTTAGCAGGGTTTTTGGCTATGAAGTGTTTCATGGTGTTTGCTGAGCTGCTTTATGATAAATTGGATGATATGAAGTCAACTTTTCGCTTTTCTTTTCACAGCTGTTAGTTTTTAGACAATGAATAAGAATATTACACCGTCACCAAAAGAGCCGAGGTGCACGTTTCCATTTCGAGTGAAATTTACGAAACATTTCCACTGATTTCAAATAATTAACTTTAACCAAAATTAAAAATTTATAGTGAATTCAAATAGCAATTAAGAATTTCCAGTTTAGAGGAACTGTCTTATGTTAAGTCAAATTCAGTTGATGATGTTTTCGGATAAATGACGTGGTGTTTGACTATATTGCTGAATCGTTTGAACAATTCGTTTTATTCAATGTTGTGCTTAGCTCAGCAAAGGTACTATGCTCAATAAAGGCGTTCTCAGATTGATTGAAAACATTGAGGAGATTCTAATGCGAACGCTGCATAATGCATCACAGGTAGTTTTCTCAGTGCACGCGATATTCGACGTTTGAAACGGGCCCAAGAAAACAAAAGTAACAACAGCACACAATTTGACCACAGATTTTATTTGTGTTATTTGATTTAACGTGCAAAAACACTTTCGTTTCACCTGCTGTCTGGGTCTTGACACGATTCTACCTCTATTCTGTGGAACAAAATGTTTCTTTAAGTTAAACAAATTTGTTGACCTGTTCCTATTGACAACGCATGAGTACTCTTACAAGGATTGATCCTTGTAAAATGAAAATACTGACTGAATGTAATATTCAACAATATGCAGAGATTATGATTGTCTTGACTCGTATTTTCAGTATATATAAAATATATCAGAAATTATGGGGTATCATCTCTGAACTTTTTTTGAAGTTTCCTAGCACTAGTACTTTTCTGAAAAAATATTGGTGATGATATGCCATAATTTCTGATATATTTAATATATACTTGAAATGTGAAAGATCATAATTTCTGCATATTGCTGTAATTTCATTAGCTATAAATAAGGTATMSTTGCGMKKGATTATCCTTGAGTTGTGCTGCAATATGTGCTGCAATTGTCCCATTTTATTTTGACTTAACAATATGTTTACATCAGGGAAAGTTGCTTCAAAAGTGGAAATTTTAATCAATATATATTCTCCCCAAAAGTCAAATCAAAGATTGCTCATATACGTTTTATCTGATGTGAAGTCATTCTGATCGCCTCTGGCGACCATAACACGATGGTTGGTTGCTATGGAGTTTCCTCCCGGACCCCTCAATAGTAGAAGTTTTAGGCAATTATAAAATAGAGGAATACCTCGCAGGTGATGAAACTCGTGTAATCGTTTGCGTTAAAACGTACAATAAAATGTTTCGATGTGACATCATAATGAAATCAAGGACAATTATATCAGCATTATATATTTACCATGATTTTGTGTAAAGTTAATTGTGCTGCAATGCGATATTTGTGTGTGTGTGTTTTGTTGTCAGGCTATGATGTTACGTCGTGTTGTTTTACCATTCTCGTACCCAGGTCCTTCTCAGTTTCCCAACGAAAAATCGATGTCTCTGGGTGTGGACTAATGAGTCTTTGATGTGATTGGTTCAAAAATTTTCATACGCCATCAGTATACAAACATCGTACAACTCCGATTCTAGGTCTTTCTTTAAGGTTCTTTCTGTAGTATCGTCTCCAAYCTCCCCCAACCTTTCGATTCCCAGTTGCTGGGAAACTCAGAAGAATCTGGGTACGAGAACGGTTGTTCTTCGTTTACTTTATCTGTTGGCTTTTTAATTTGTGTTAAGTTCGGTGTTGCTTCGCATTGTGTCGTGTTGCGCTGCGTTTTGTGCAGTACTACAAGATAGTGTACATGTTGTGAAATTCTAACATTGTGCGTTGTCAGTAAGTTGTGGAGTGGTGTTTTTACCAGATACATTGTGTCTTGTTTTGACGTTGCGTTGCTACACTGTGCTGTATTGTTTTGTATTGTGTTCTTAAGTTGTTGTACAAATTTACTTTGTTTTATTTTAACGTACTTTCAATGTCAATCCATTTGCGACCCGGGACCCAGGAATTGTAACGGAACAGATATTGTTTTTCATTGTAATTTACGCGAACCTAGAAAACAAGCATTTCATTAGAAGGCCATCTTGGCCCATTGCAGTCTAATACTGTTTGTTGTCAATGTATGTGTAGATAATATGCAGTAAAAAAGGTTGAAGATGAAGAGCACAAGAGAAGACTTGGATTCAAGGAC